CGTCACATAACCACAATAACTATACAGTTACTGCATCCTACCTCTCTCAATCTCGTTCTGTCTCTCTTCTTCTCAGACTCGCTTACATGAGCAATTACCTGTATAATGAGTTGGTCCTGCCTTAAGTCATCTCCATGCTTGAAGATGGCCACGTATTCTTTCCCCTCGACGTCCACAAAGGTCAGGCGTGAGGGTTCGAGGGCTGACTTAAATAACGTCGCTTTCTCTGGCACTATGCCCGTTACGATGACCTGTGAATGGGGTTACATGGGAAAAATGGAAGAGAAAGGAGAACAGAGAGAGGAGGTAGGGAGGAGTGGGATAGGTGAGGGGGGGGGGACGAGTAGAGGGGAAAAAGAATGGAAGGATAGAGGAGGAAGATGGGTGAAGGATGGGAAATGAAAAGGGAATTGGAGGGGAAAAATAAATAATTAGAAATAAGAAAAATACAAAATAAATTAATTTTTCAGTTAGAACAATTTTTGGAAAATTATTACACTTTCTGTGCAAGTAGACATGTGAGCAAATACATTATTATACATAATCACATACACCTCTCAAACAGATCTTCCTATTTTGTGATTATTGTATATTTCCTGTCTGACTTTCCCTCTCACATGATCTCTCCAGCCTATGTTATTCATTCTCTCTCTCTCTCTCTCTCTCTCTCTCTCTCTCTCTCTCTCTCTCTCTCTCTCTCTCTCTCTCTCTCTCTCTCTCTCTCTCTCTCTCTCTCTCACCTCAGGGTCCAAGGGTAGTCTCAGGGGGTTGAAAGCTGAAAAATTCACTTTAAAAGCCGCAGAATCAGCTAACAGGGACTGGAGTTTTTCAATTCTCCGAACTCTGTTACTCTCTTTGGCTACAACCTGAAAAAAAAAAAATTATAATAATAATAATAACAATAATTAAGATACCAAAATAAAGGAAAGATGATGATGGTTAATGATTAGAAGAAAAAAATGTAACAGACATCAAAGGTCATCTAGCACTATGGGAAAGTATTGTGGTGAAAAGGGTGGAAATGAGCTGACAATCAGGATAAGATGTGTTATATGTCAAAAGGTTGTAGAACACTGTAAGATAGAATGACAGTGAAAAGGGCATAGAGAGGGAGCAAATGGCATACTGTGGGGATTTGTAAAAGGGGATGGGGTTAAAGGTATAGGGCAATCAGATCAAATGGAGAGTATGAGACTGAGGAAGGGAGAGGATGAGCTGAGCGAACAGGGGAAGTATCAGGAAGAGAGTCAGGAGGGGAGGGATCCAGAGGAATAGTGTTGTGACATAAAGGAGTCAAATGAGCATCTAGGTGGCAGTAGAGGTGATACAGATGGAGGAGAGGATGGGGGAGGAAGAGTGGTAGGAGGAACTTGACTAGGAGGAGGATGGATATCAGCAAATACTTTGAATGCAGGGTAAACAGGAACTGAGGGATTTAGAGGGTGAATGAGGGAGTGGAGTCTTCTCCTGGGTCATGTTTAGGAAGTTTTGGAAATCTTCAAGGGTTTCTGAAAGGGAGTTTTGCTGGGGAGGTCTGAGCAACAAAGGTCTTCTTATGTGGAGAAGAGGGAATAATGTCAGAGGAGCAGTGGGAAAGGTGGGTGCAGGAGAGAATGTAGTAGGAGAAGATGAAGTGGAACGTTTAGACTGTCTGGTGCGACAGGTACAGTGAGGAGGAGGAGTGTTCAACATGGAAGCATTTCTTCACCCATCTTCTGCCCTTTCATATGTCTATAACACCACAACCTCCTCAACACTAGCAATCCCAACCCATTTCTTCAGTTCGCTTGCTCTTCCAATGCCATAGGCAGATAAACTACACATCCAATTTAATCTACAAACCTATAACCCTTGCTACAATACCCACATAGGACACATAAAAGCTATCAATTCTACAAAAGTAAAATAGAAAAAAAAAAAAAAATCAACAGGAGAACTCACCTTGACAAGCGCCACCAGTTGCTCCAGGAAGTGGGTCTGTCGGGCAAGATCCCGCCGTGTGGCACGAGCAGCGCGCCCACCTGCCCACAGTGCGGCACGGAATCGTCGCACAACCCACTCGTACATCTCCACAACCTGGGGGATGAATAAGGAGATGGAGAGTGTGGCTGTGGATGCATATATATAATCTGTGTGTGTGTGTGTGTGTGTGTGTGTGTGTGTGTGTGTGTGTGTGTGTGTGTGTGTGTGTGTGTGTGTGTGTGTGTGTGTGTGTGTGTGTGTGTATGTGTATATATGTATGTATGTATATATAATATATAATATATAATATATAATATATAATATATAATATATAATATATAATATATAATATATAATATATAATATATAATATATAATATATATAATATAAATATAATATATATAATATATAATATATAATATATATAATATAAATATAATATATATAATATATATATAATATATATATAATATATATGATATATATAATATATATATTGTACATCTATAATATATATATTGTATATATATATATATATATATATATATATATATATATATATATATATATATATATATATATATATATATATATATATAATATATATATATATATATATATATATATATATATATATATATATATATATATATATATATATATATATATATATATATATATATATATATATATATATATAATATATATAATATATATAATATATATAATATATATAATATATATAATATATATAATATATATAATATATATATAATATATATATATATATATATATATATATATATATATATATATATATATATATATATATATATATATATATATATATATATATATATATATATATGTACAGCATAAACAAACATGAATATAAAAATCATAATAAATGACTATGAAAATTAATAAAATCAAGCCATGTATTGTCATAACCCAAACAATAATTACGATCTGGGGAGTCACCACAATAAAAGGGGGGGAAAGAGACACAGGTGGCTTAAACATGACAATTACATATAAGTAACAATGAATGAAAATACATAATCAAACAAAGATACACAAAACAAAGCATAATTTTCTCACCTTAGCTTCATGCTTCAATCCTGGTTCGTCTCTCTCGCATTCGACAATGAGGTACCAATAGAGATAGTTTGCCAGAGTGGGATTTTTTGTTGCGCGTTGGATCAGGAAAGAGGCAAGATCAAGGCCTTTGGGGTCAGTGTCCATAGAGGCAATTAGTTTGGGGTCACGGAGTTGATTGGAGTCTTCGGTTTGGTTGGGGGTAGTGGGGGATACTTTTTGGGTTTCCGTGGAGTCGGTTTTGGGGTCTCGAGCGCCGTCATTTGAGGTTGTTGTTGTTATTCCTCTTTCTCCTTTTTCGCTTCCTCTGTCTTCCACTTTCTCCACTCCTCCTCCTTCAACATCGGCAAGGAGTGAAGATGAGCCTGACTGCTTAAGAGTTGCGGTGTCACTCTCACTTTCCTCGCTCTCCTCCTCTTCTTCATCTTTGTATATCTCTTCTCCTACAATCCCTCTTCCTCCTTGCTCCTGTGATCGCTTGTCAATTTTCTTTTCTTCCTTTGACTCTTCCCCCTTCATCATGCCCTCCTCCTCTTCCTCATCATCCTCTTCCTCTTGCTCCTCATTCTCGTCATAATGAGAGACATCACAGAGACTCGTGTCAACACCTTCTATAGCCTCATACTTTAGGGCCTGGACTAACTGGAGGAGATATAAGAGGAGGTCCTCATCAGATGCATGGCTCAAGCGCTTGACTGCGTATCTTCGCACTTCAGGGTGTGTGAAGCCCGGTCCCAGGAGCTCTAGGGCATCATCAGCATCTGGGGGTGCCCACCGGTTCAGGAGTTCAATGGCCTGCTTGGCTTCACCAGTGAGTTTCCAGTTCACACATTTCAGGAATTTGGTGAGTGCACGTTTCTGTGAGCTTAGGTAGAACCGGTACTTCCAGACAGTGTCCTGCTCGTCACTTGTGAGCTGTTTAGTAGGAGGGTAGTCGACAATAGTGTGCAGGGCATCGCGAATAGCTAGGTTGGGTTTGAGGTCGCGGTCAGTGACCCCTGACCTAAGTGACCTAGCAAGACGGTGGTGTTTAGCCTCCTGTAAGTTCTCAAGGCCTATCTCTGGGTCAGGCATTCGTACCACACTGCCTGCTGAACGGTGTCGGTACTCCACCTCCCCCCCACGCTCCCACCACACAACAGAATAGATGACACCCTCGTGCTCGACTCGAGGGAACTCAACCATTAGATACATTGCATTGGAAGACCTTTTTTCGTGCTCGTTGATGACCTCGATCTCGCGGAAGGTCAGCCGGTCGAGCCAGTCAACCTTCATCATCTGCCCATTGCGGTGTTTCTTCGCCAGTTTGGCCAGCCTCACCATTTGGTCCTTGCCACGGTCATGACCTTTGCCCGGAGTTGTCTCGTCTCCTACCCGACCGGGCCAGAGTCTGAGGTCGTGCAGGCCCTGACGGAAAACGCCCTGCTTTCCAAAGAAGGATATGGTGGTCCCTCCCACGCGCTCGATCCTCCGGGGTCCTAGGGAGTCATAGACTGTAAGGGCTAGAAGGGCATTACGTGGCAAGTCCCTAAACTTCAAAGGCAACGTCAGCCACTCGTTCCAGCTCCACCTGGCGGAGAAAGACTTGTAAGACGTCCTGACTGGCAAGGTTAGCTGACGTCCATCGCAGATGACCTGGCAAGTCACGTACAGGTCAGAGCATCCTGCCTGGTATAATCCCGAATATTTCAGGAGCGAATCCTTCAAAAGGGCTTCATAGTTGGGATTATCTCGTTTCCCGTCTAAATTTCCTATTTTGACCTGGATTTCCGCATCTAAATCGCAGCTGCGGACGTACCAGAACTTATCTGTGTCAGGTTCCATCTTTATTCCTTATTTTCCTAACGGAGAGAGTGCATAACGACAATAAATTAAGACAGAAAACACGTTAAAAATAAGTAACTTCCTGAGACGCAGACAATGACAATCAGCTGATCCA